TGGATCTCAAACGAAATCCCTAATGACGTCGTTGAGAGCGGTCGAGTGATAAAAACCCCATATGCTGGGCAGGCAGCAAGTGTAGCTGAACAAGAAGGAACTGGTTCTCCAGCGGACGAGCGCAGGCCTTTCACGAGAGACACTCGTGGCATTCAGACCTCGTTGTCGTACATCGACCCTGATGGTAGCACCAATGCCAGTGAGGATAACAGTGTCCAAGAGGAAGAGGCAGGGGTCACTAGGGGCACTACCGACAACGGTGACCTGTATCACACCCCCGCTGAGTCCCCAGATACAAGTGGCGGTAGCCCCGCACAGGGAACAGGAGGGGTCCAAATATACACGCGATCAACGTACCTGAGCTTCCTGCAACCTCAGTCGCCGTTTGGCCCCAAAATTAGGTCGGTCTCCCCTCAGCCGTATCTCGAGAGTTTTGTTCAGGAAAAGTCCGGACAGTCGCCTGCGTGTCCAACTCTTTCCCCCAGAGCGCGCGAAGTTCTTCATCCGTCAGAACAAGCACTTGCTCCGCGCCAGCCGTACATGAGCAACTTTACCACAGTTCCTACGAAGAATACTGCGAACATGCCACAGGAAAGTTCAGGGTCGGAGGAAATTGCTAAACACGAACCGAAAGAACATACACAGGTTGCATCACCTACAAAACACAGATGTTTGATAAATCACCACGATGTCAGCGATATAAGAACCCCTATTTCATGTAAACTATGCTCACCAAGAAGCCTCCAACTGGAACAGATAGACTCGGGCGCAACCGAGCAACAAAGTATTGTCACGCCTCACTCCACAATGTCGCCAGAAACACCTACAGTGACATCCTCAAAGAAAACAGATGAAATACTTATGGAGAGAGGAAAGCAGCATTTTGAATCGTCACAGCGAAATAATGACAGTGATAGAACTAGCCCAGAATCCGTAGCCGACTCGTATGAACAGCCTGAGACCACTACCACCAAGGCACCCAGACAGAAGCTGTTTTCCGACGATAAGCCTCAACCGCAGCCTGTGCAGAGGCAGGTGCCGCCCTTACGTCTGCAGGATTCTTCGGAGGAAGATTTTGACAACGAGGTCGAAGCATATTTATCCCAAATCAGCATCAGTCACCAAGCCCTGGCTGAAAACGAGGCTAATTCACGGCGCGAAAGGACCAAAAATGCAGATGACAGTTGAGCAGTTTCCGCACACACTGTAGACTTTACAGCATAAAACATTGGGTATCATGAAAATTAAACCCCTTTTGAAATATGGACTTCACTCCACGGCGAAATTGAGCTCATTTTATTTTATTTTTTTTAATATGTACTTAGAAATACCGGTACAATGTACAAAGAAACGCGAGCGTGTTAGTTAAAGAATTTATTTGAAAAGACATATTTTATAACATATGAAATGTTTGAATCATTTTATTGGGTTGAGATGTGATGTTCTTAAAAGTTTGCATATGTCGATTGTAAAAAAGGCCTCCATGAGAGAACTGAGTTCCAGAAAAATATATGTACATATTTTTTCAAACAGATGGCTAACAAACCAGAATTTTCCCCAGTGTACAATAAGATTTTTATGATAATAAATTGTAATTTTGATAAAACCTGTGTTTTCACTGTTTTTTTTTTTTTTTTTTTTTTGTTTTCGTGTTGATCGATTACTTCCATGTAAATGGTAAAACCATTTTTACCAACGATTTAATTGAATTTGACATAAGCAAAACATAAGCATAATAGAAATTTAAAAAAAAACTCGGTTACATACTTGGAGATTAGCAAAAGGAAAAAAAGCTTTGAAAGTTGTGGACAAATAGAGACCACCCAGTTTCATCAATACTGGATCGCGCTGTCCTATGGATAACACTATCCTTTGGATAAAACTGTTGTCCTGTGGACAGTTAACCTGAGGTCTGCAGCCTTTTTAACCAATGGAGAGCAATATCAGAGACAAAAATAAGTACACACACTGGACAAAAGAAGTGTCACCCCTACTGAACCGATACTTTGGGGGAGATAAACGACTGTGGGATGATATGCTCCTGGTATCATTTTATTAACATCAAATTTCACAAAAGAAACGGTTCTGACTGAACAATTCAACTGCATCGATATTCTGACATTGCTTATATTCCGCCTCTTCAGGTTAATAACTTTGATTACTCTGATTCAGGGGGTAACCCTTCTGTTGTCTAGTGTGTGTATATAGAGTTTAGTAAACATTACTCTACCCACAGGACAATTGCCCGGAGGATAACAATTTTATGTAGTGGATAGTGTTATCCAGAGGATAGCGCTATCCAGTGTTGAAGAAACTACCAGGAGAGTGCTCAATAATTCAAAATTAAAACCAGTTCATCAGCTAAAACAGCTACCGATCTCAAATAATCCGATATTTTAAGGTCACTGGAGACACTCAGAAACCAAAGTGCGTAATATTCAGTAAGTAATTTAATTTACAGATTAATGAAATGCACACAGGAAGTTGACATGAGGCCATAATATACGCTTCGACCCCGTTTAATTTTACATTAAAATCCGAACACTAAATACTGACGATTGTATCATACAAAAAATTAAATAATAATGCATGTTCATAAATTAATACCATAACTCCTTTATTTCTACATAAACGTGTGTTGACACACATACACAGACAACGCACACACTGATGCGTGCATAAGGCATATTTTAAAATAGCAAACGCCACTTGCTTTTCTAAAAAGGAAATTGATTGTTAGCAGGTAACATGAGGTAATATAACATTTTGAGGTCGTGATTGAGTTCGACCACGCTTCAAAAAGGGTGATATACGGTAACATATACAAGATCAAATCAGCGGTTTCGGGTCACTGTGACGTCATATATTTGTTGATCTTGGCTTACAGGGTACCAACAATGTTCACTTACGCGCAGTGCTAGAAATTACTTAACTAACATACGTTGACTTAATGCATGTTGACGATTAATTGTTTCATTTGAGAACAACTTTCAGTTAAAGTATTGCCTTTCTATTTGCGGTCAAAAAATTATTATCGCCTTACGGGAATAATTTTGTGAGTTGACCATTTAAAGAATGTCAAAATAGACTTCGATGCTACTTCTTTTGGATCACCCTATATCAACGTTTCAATTTCCTATAAAGACGGGGAACTGATGACTACCGCTATTACAGGTTATTTTGGAATAACTGAAATGAGCGGTTCACTATGAGAGAAGTGAAGAACTGCCTGGGTTGTCTGTCTTTCAAAGAGGGAGTCGTCCTTAGCGCTACGTATACTTTGGTAAGGCCTTAAAGTGTGATTTTATTTCTTCTGATTTCTATGTATATATAGGCCACCGTATACTGATGCCTGTTTTTTTTTTTTTTTTTTTTTTTTTTTTTTTTTTGTGAATGGTGGTCATGAGAATATGCTCATTGAGTCAGTCAATTTAGAGGATTATTTTTTTAAACATATTTCTTGTTTTGTGCGGATGTTTCCTTTTGTCTTGTTTTTTTTACCCTATAGGCCCTCGTCATTATGAATCTCTCTCTCTCTCTCTCTCTCTCTCTCTCTCTCTCTCTCTCACTATCATAACCTTGCATCCTGAAATATTTTATTAAAATAATGTATTTTCATTCCAATGAAGTCAACATATTCATTATTTATCTTTCTCAGCATGTTTTATTTTATTTCAGTTTTTATGCTCTATGTTGTTTTAATCGAAATAGGCAAGCAATATCTCGCCCTCGCAACTGAGAGTAGGTACTGGGTACGTGTGCGGTGATTATCACCACCAGAACATTTAACTCGAGTTGTATTTCTCTAAATAACATCCGCACCTTTCAGTTCAGGACACGGCTTTTTAAGGTCACGGAGGTCACGAAGGCCTCAGTACGCTGTCTAAGAGTCAGCTAAGAGTTGTCGGTTTATTTAAACAAAGAATTGTATAAACGAGAAACTCGTGTCTAAAGCCGCTTAACCTGTCGGCTGTTAGGAGACATTTCGATCTGCATTAAATAGGGTGAACAATCATTTGAAAGTGCTATCACTATTTGTTTCATCAGTTTATTTAAAGATGTTTATACTTAAAAATGCATTTGAAGGCAATTTTGCCACCATATAGTTTCAAATAGCAAAATTTAAAAAAATACCAAAAAAAAGCGTCGTTTCATATTGCCCAAAAATGATATATTCTGCATTTTTCTTTTAATTCATTACTATCAAAATATATTAATTTTTGATCAACCGAAATTCAATCCTGCAGCTCAATCTGTCTCTCTCTCTCTCTTTGAAAAAAAAAAATTACGAAGAATCAACAAATCCTCAAAACTTGATTTTCAATTATATCTCTTCTACAAACCAGGCGGATATATTGTCTGAGGCGTAAACAGTGATTACATTGAGAAGAACACGATCATTGACGCGGAAAACGATTTCTTTGTTAATCTAAGTTCAGTGCTGGGCAAGAGGCCATCCGAGTACGTGCCGTTCACATGCAATGTATGAGGAGCGTGTTCACAATCAATGACCTTAGGAGTTCGCATGAAATGCTGCGTCCTAAATGTTCAATCACAAAGAGCCTTTGGTTGATTTTAATTTATTCATTTCCGTTTAATCTATTAGTTCAGACATCGTTATCACTATAGGGTTACAATTCCCTTAGGCTGTGCCAAATCATAATCGCAGCTAATGAGATTCGTTTGAACTTAGCTAATTTGATGAAGAGTGAGAACAGAGTCAGATTATACAGGGTTAAAGACTACCGGTAGATTGAGAGAAAGGGAAAGTCTAGCACTCTAGCTATTTTAAATAGAAAATAGCGTCTAAAAGGAACTTACACCCCCTCCCCCAGGACCTATAGCCCGGAATATCATTCCTAAACACTGAATTATTTAAAGAACTTTTATCTCAGTGATAAAACACTTTTAAGACAACGATGTTTTCACATGGATGCTTTCTTATGAGTCATGCTACCACTTTATGTTATCTGTCTGGTGCTCTTTAGAATTCTCGTCAGGAAGGACTAAGAAGTCAAGAACAAAACACGAGAAAGAGAGGGCTAACCAAACACCAGTGCACATGATCCACGCACAGCTGTTCTGACGCACAATATGGTTCATTTCAGGTCAATTAAACACAATCACGCAACGGTGGCTTCAATATGTTTCTTGGTCTGAGATCTCGAATCTAAACAACAACAATACATGTACTACGTAATGGACAGATCTTACGGACAAATCTTTTACCAGAGCTTGGTGTGATATAATGCTAAAATTAAGATGAAATGAATGGCAAGCAAGCGTATATACGCATACCGTACAGGTATTATGTAATGACCGGCCGTGTATAAATTGCCAAATCAATAATATTTGTTGACCTTACAGCACGGGGTCATATGCCAGGAAACCAAGGTTGCTGATTCCTCAACAGTGCGAATTACGTCAATTACTTCTGCCAAATTAAATTTGAAATTTGAAATTGAGTAATAACATGCATGTGTACAAATCTCGATTTATAGGAACATAAGCGTTGTTACATCGATGTTTTATGAGGACAGTGGTAAAGTCAATATTTCAACACTGTCAGTTTCAATCGAATGCTTCCCTCCACTAAGGGAGATGCAGTTGCGGGCAACCATAGGTTAGTTTCCCTGTGTCGCCCAGATTCCGAATACATTGGACAAGAGTACATTATCATTTCTACATGTCCTTTTTGGACATCGCACCTGGCAATAGGGATATACTGCATGGTAAGGTTTAAGAGACTATAAATTTATCTGCTCCTTTTTTATTTTCAATTTCTTTTTTACCTACTGTTGCTGCTGCAGCTACTACTACTACTTATTTCATTATTATTATTATTATTATTATTATTATTAATTTGTTGGTTTATCGCTTTATTATGATTGTTATTGGATATTCTAGGGCATCGCCTGCCTGGCAATAGTTCTTACTGGATTCGCTTTTGCTGAGCAATATGGACTTGAAATGTCAGAGGGAATACAATGGACAGGTAGGCTGCTCCGCTAAAAGTTTGAATTTTACAAGTGTGAAAACTACCTAACGAGAAGGTATAGAAATAGGAACAAAATGTTTTCTGATTTTACCTTTGGCATTCTGCTCTTAAGCGTTCGTACATTACAATTTCTATGGATGGGGACCACAGTTTCCACTCCCCTTTTTCAAATATGTGAAACTGTTCTATTTCAATTCTGTACGAACTAAATTCACCAAGTAATATTTTTCCTTTGCCTAGATACCGGTATGTGCGTTGATTGTAAGAGCTCGTGACAGAGATGAATTTCTAATATCTATTTTATTTGTTAAATGAATAAACAAATATTATTATCATTATTATTATTATTATTATTATTATTATTATTATTATAGGTATCCCATTTGAATCTCTGAAAACAGTGACGGTATTTTCCTACGTGATGTTTGGGGCGTGGCTAGCCAGCAGCGTACTGATGTACATTGCCGTCTACCTGGTAAGGTGTCTGTTACCGCTCTTCGTGTATTAAAATGGTGTATTTGTAGACAATGACATCAAGCCAAATGCCTTTGAAAAATAATAGCGTTTGTCTTTCAAATGTAATTATGTAGCCATAGATGAAAAATGTGCTTATGATAATGATAATAATTATAATAATTTCGTTGGTTTAATCAGTTTGGAGGGATTATTTATGTTTAAATTATATAAATCTTTATTCATTTGTGTTCATTAATACGAGCAAGATTAATTTTTCCTTCAGGAGAGCAGAGTGTGCTGCTACCCGTGGATATTCCAGACGATAGTTTGTTCCATTATTCTCATCGCCTGGGTCATTTACTGCGGGATTACCATGGGGACAGCGGCATCGCACGGCACTGACACCAGTCCTTTAGGTTAGGGTTCGCTCTATCTATTTATCTATTTCCAATTATTATTATTATAATTATTATTTAATTGTTTTTAAACAAATAAGATTTTATTTATTCACTTATTCATTTGCCGGAGTTAAATCTATCACTATGCGTTTAGGCAAGTGAAAATGACACTTTTCTTTTTGTAAAGAGGAACTGACGAAAGACGTTATATTCATAACCGCCATCTGATTTTTTGTTTCAGACACTAGGGCTTGGATTGAGTATTTTGAACGGTCTCTCCTCATTGCAGGGCTGTTTATCTACAACGTAAGTCTTATAGAGAAAGTAATGAAAATGTGATGAAGTTGAAATGTGATTTAGAAATACTGCTTTGTGGTAGTTTTCAAATTAAAAAAAAATGGTCCTTCTCGTTAGAGGAAACTGAAAAAAATTCTAACTGGAATAATATAATTTATTGTAGATCTACGAGTAATTTGACTAAGTTAGGTTTAGTTTCTTTCACGATGCGGCAACATAAACAAAACATAGCAATGTACAATAAAAAGCACACAAAATTAAACGTACACAGAGCTTATAACAAAATGTTGCTGACAACTAAATTATACATGTACATTCTGCGAAGACGCTTTGTACACAAGGTCTACAACAAGCACAGGATCTTCACGTACGCTCATGTACACCATTAAAGCTGAGTTTATGCTACGTGATGTACCGGTAAGTCTATAATTAAGCGCATGTTCAAGTGTTTATTATTTTTGTTTTCTTTCAGGTGGTGGGAATTGTCTGTGTTCGGGGCTACTGTGCAGAGCTGTGGGAAAAACAAAACAAGGTGATGACATAAACCTTCTGAATCATTAAATACGAAACATAAAACACCCAGCTAATTTCTTGTCGATTGATGATAACGTAAGTGAATGAATAAATGTAAAATTAACGTCAAATACCGCAAACTTAATTCTTTCCTTTTTTTATCTGTTCGTTCAGTTTTTTAAACATATTATAACATTTTCATACACCTACCTCCTACTTTTATCCAGCTTGCTCGTTAAATTTTTAATTCATTAACTTACTTTTTACTCTCTAAGTATCATGCATGTACACATTCTTTCCTGACGTAAAAAGTACGCCTGTTACGTCTAATTTCCAGGCGGGGTCCCTGACGCCGAGCGTGGATGTCGAGAAGAGATTTTCCGATGTATTCAATCCACCGCATCTCCGCTCTGACCACGTGTATAATATTCCGGTGGGAACTTATATCGCATAACTGCGGGCTATACCCTGTCCGGTTCTTGAAGAAGAGAGAGAACGTTTCTGCGCCACGTTTGTGATCTTTTAACACATATCAACGAGTATATCTGTTGTTGAATGCATTCTCAGTATACAAAAACTGGGAATCAAATGATGGCAAAGGGGCAGCTGTTGGGCAGTGGGTATTGCAGTGTACATGTATATAATACGGTGGGCATGCCGAGCTTTATATCAAAACTGGTGTGGCGCGAATATATCGCGAATATATATATCGCGAATATATCGCGAATATATGTCTTTTTTTGTCCTATGCGCAAACGAATAGCTTTAACAAATACGGATTTTATTGCATAGTTGGTAAAGCGTATATACATGTTGTATTGGGGCATGGATCACGTGTTTTGTAAATTATCATCGAGCGCTTAAAGCACAAGAGGGATTCCTCTCCTGTTAGTAAGAAGCAAACTGACTTTGCGCTAACTTGCTCAGTAGTTGTACTCGTAGATTTAATATTTTATATATTTCCAAATAGAGATCGAACTTTTCTTTATTCTGATCACCCAGGATAAGGATAAGGATCGACCTCTTCTGACGTCACAGGTATCTCAGGGATAGTCTAATGTAGAGCATCAGAAATAGACCATGTTATAGTTGGCGCTTTTCTGTTGTAATTTTGCACCTGTACAAAAATGCATATTTTACACGGTTTAAAAAGAGCCAAGCATTCTTTGTAGAACTGCAAACTTATTCATTCCGTTAGTACATGTAATAGCACAATTTTCCATTCTAAACCAAAAGAATGCACGAGGGTTTTTTGCCTAGTATGACTTTTTATTGAATATGTAATTAGGTTTGTACTGCTTTACGTGTGCACGAAGCTTGATTGTAGTTATTATTGAGTTTAGTCCCAACGGTATAGACACTGCTCTCACACTAGTAAAATCTATTGAGTCTGTGTCATTAATTTTACTGTCTCATGAATATTGTGAAGATTTGAAGTTGTGATATTTGATCTCTGATTGAGGAAAAGCATTATAATCAATGCAAATTAAAATTACACAAAAAAGTCATTACTTCATCAAGAGATTTTTGTCTCTATGCTATGTTCATAAATGAGCAGCTTTTGATTGACAATTATTTTACGTGTAGATGCAATAATCCAAAAATGTACATAGAAAATGTTCTCTTTATTGAGAAAAAAATTAACTTGTATGTTTGTTAATTTTAATATTATATTCGACAAATCCTTGCATACTTAAAAGGTTTGTGTGATTGGTCTATTGGTAAAGAAATAAATCTTTTGACAAACCCTTTTAGTCTTAATGAACACATTTATGAAATATTATTATGGAATATTAAATCAAAAGTTATGTAGCATGTTAATGCCACTCATCCAGTCATATTTTACATGTTAAATACATTTTTAAATCTTTCACTGGCTTACAATTCAGTCAAAATATCATGTGGGAGAACTAACATCGTCAATTACGCTAAATTGTATGTCAAGTAGCAGATTGCAAGAAATTCTTATGCCCACAGCACAGCTGAATGGCCACATTGTTGCTGCCACTTTATTTCTTACTGGTGTTGTAATGTCATACTGTCACCATAATCATGCTCATGGTACTGATGCTCAAAATGCTGCTGATTCAGAAGCTGTTCCTGTTGTTGTTGTTGCTGTTGTTGTTGCAGATATTGTGTCTGCTGCTGATGTTGGTAACCACCGTAACTTTCCCCTGTCATGGACTCCAAAAGCAATATGGCTTCCGTGGCACTCTGAACCTCCGAGGTCATGGTCTGACCTGAGGGGACAGATGTATAGGTGGCGCCATGTGCTTGTGGAGCTGTGGAGGCAAATTGATTCATCTGAGCATCTGGTTGGGCATATTGGACCTAAATAAAGTAGTAAATGGCAGTCAACATTACAGTACAGTTCATTTAACTGGTACATTTATTGATTGACTTCTTATATGTAAAACAACACATAAAATAAAAACAATGGCAATAGATAATTTAATTGCATAAAAAGCATGATTTGTGTGAATTTATGGACCCTGATATTTAAACAACTTTGTGAGGAAAAAAAAAAAAAAAAAAAAAGGAGCCTAGACAACACTGCATGCATATTGTGAATATGTCTGCTATTATTTTCTGCTTTTTTGAGACTAATGTACAGGAAACCAAGAGAGCACTGTACTAGGATTTTCTATACTGTTTGAGGATAAAAAAGTTGAACCTAATAAGACAACTTAGAATTACAATTTTTAGCTATTCAAATTCTTGTACAGATCTAATTCTTCACAACTGTTCTGATGTGTCTGGTCTTGAACAAAAAGTTAACAAATAAAGTTTTAAATGAAAAGAAAATGAATCAATTAATCAATTACTGAATATATAAATAAATAAATAAATAAATAAAAATATACTGTGCCTAGTACAACTGACCTGTAACTGTTTGTCTTGCCCCATCTCGTAATACACAGTTTCTTCTACGATATGCTGATCTTCAGTGCTGCCCCCTATCTCCATGTTGACAGTTCCCTCTTGAACCACCTCGCTTGTCTCAGGACCTGCTGTGGTCACAATGTATACAGTCTGGAAATAATAATATGAAAATATAAATGAAAGCTTTTTATATGTAATTAATCAGAGAAATAAATAAATGGAATAACATATCAATATGGCTGGCCCAATTTACAGGTTAGTAAAAATTTCATTCCTTGCAAGCCATTAAAAAACCACTTGGCTGAGATGCATAACACTTAAGAGTCCTTTTTTACTCATTTATAATGCTGTTCATTTCATTACTTTTTGCGGTGAAACAGTCATTATATCTTAATCAGTGCACACACTTTTCTATCCTAAACTTTGAACTGCACAAATGTACACAAAAAAACAATTTCACACACATACAATTAAGCATACACACACACACTCACACACACACACACACACACACACACACACACACACACACACTGCCCATGCAGCACCCCACTCTCTTTCTGTCTCACCCTGTTCTGATTCCCCTCCCCATCTACTTCCATCAGCACGGTGCTGTTGGAATGTTTCTGTCTCATGTGGTTGTGAAGTCGGACTTTGGCCACAAACGTCTTCCCACACACCGTGCATGCAAACTCCTTCTGTTTCACTATCTTATGGACACCCTCCATGTGATTACGAAGAGCAGTTCTCCAGGTGAATTTCTGAGTGGAAAAAAAGACACCCTATTAGGTACTATAGTAACTATAAAGTACTAATTAAAGAATGCCTTTCTAACTTGTGTTTTTTCTTTTTTTTTTAATCATTCAAATAAATCATGTCTCAGCAAAATCAAAATGCATGAATTCTGGTCCTGAAGCTTTCTCATGCCATTTTTTAAAATCCTTCATGGTCCTTCAGCAAACTTATAGCTGCCATTTTATAAAATCAGTATGTATGTTATTTATATTTCCCTCTGTTCAAATGAGCGTGAATGTTAACTTTTTTCAAAACATTTAAAGATCCTCAATTTACTTTTTCTTCTATTTTTATATTTTACATACTAAGATGGAATTCTAGATGCTCTACTGAGTTTCCTTACCTTTCCACATTCAGTACAAGGAAACTCCGGCTGCGCAGCGTCTTCATGTTTGTGTAACATGTGAACCTGCACACTGGTCTTGTCGCGGAACTGCTTGCCTGGAACAGAAGTTCAATTTCCTTATTTTTTCTCTCTCAACCTCTTACAAATCATTTCCAAATTTCAGTATTTATATCAATGTTGTGGAAAGCCATTTTGTTACATTTCTAGGGGATACTGTCACTTCAGCTCTTAAACTGCCCCCAAGTGTGGCAAGCATCAGTATATCTATCATTTATTTGTAAAAGATTGGAATCTAATAATTAGCTTTAAATTACAGACTAATATGCTAAAATTTATGCTTAAACAAAGGATAAGCGGCACTGACCTTGAATTGATCTCTTTTTGAGCATTTGAGAAAAATATCCTCAAAAGAGTGTTCTGCAAGTTGCTGGGTTTTGTATAAGAATTTGAAATCCACAACTTCCGAATACTCTTTTAAGTTTTATAAGGCTAAATCAAAAGAAGCATATTCCTCAACAGGGAGAAAAAAAATGTCCATCCCTGATGCTGTCCACCTACCACATATTGAGCAGCAGAACACTGTTTGTTTCTCATCATGAAACTTGAGTATGTGTCTTCGCAGTGTCTGTCTGTTACTAAGATACTTGTGACAGTGGGGACACTCCAGCTTGGAGTCCAACTCATGAAAATATCTGAAATAAATACATTTACACTGGGGTCAACCTAAAGTAATACAATTTTTTAACAAATCAATGTGACAATGTAATTATATGAAAGTGGTTGACATTTAGATGTTTTTTTTATTATTATTCTAATTTTCTAATTTTTTTTAATCGAAGTGTATTAGCTTTTGGAATTTATTTTTTTGCACAATCTTAATTTATCAGGTGTTTCAGTGTCAAAGATTCTATATATATTATAACCTTGTCCAAAAGCAGCAAAATAAATTTGCAAAACAAAACCAACATGCAGAGTGTTGCAAACCTTCAATCGTTTCCTAATTACACTGAGTAGATGAAAGACTTCACCTGTCTTACTTTATACTACATTATATTAATCATAGTCCACACATCTTACTTGATATGTTCTTGCAGATTCAGATATGTTTTATATGTTTTCCCACACAGATGACATGTCAGGGGCCTTCCAGAATGCTCGCGCTGTTTGTGCGCCTTTACTAAATCACGACGCTTGAAAACCTGCCCACAGTCTTCACATGGAAACTCTCCAGTGACTTCCCCCAAGTGGTGCACTCTTTGTAGGTGGTGCTTCAGACCATGACTGCTGTGGTACATGCGCCCACACAAACTGCAAAGACGTCTCATGGCCCCTCTGAACATCTGCAAGTGACAAATAATAATAATAATAATAATAATAATAATAATAATCTAAACACTGTCCTTCTGCTGGTAAGGCTAGCATTTTTATTTGGCTTAAAATTTGTACAATTCATCTTGCACATGTGTTGAAGATTAACATTTTGCTTTGACAAAACTTTGGTTTTCTAAAAAAGAAATATATTCATAATTAATTCTTTTTGGATATAAGTTATAAATCTCACACTGAATTTCAGAGATAATCGAAAAATCCATCTCCATTTTCATCATGTCTCTGCTATTTCCAAAAATGAACATACTGCTGCAGTTGAACACAAAGAAAGTTGAGAAGAATTTCCAGTAATTTCTGACACTCAGGGTGAAATAATATAAGTCAATACCTGGATGTAGTTCCTTTTCTCAGGGTGCCCCCTATGTTTCACTTTGAGATGAACATACACAGCGCTGCCGTTCTTGCATGGAAACTGACATATGGGACACAGCACGGGATCACCATTCCGTTTTGTCGCATTTTTTCTGGTTTTCATGATTCGTTTTTCCCTTTGGGAGGAGTTGTCTGTAGTTTGTGAAGTTTCTTTTGCATCTCTTGTAGAGTTTGTTTCAGATTTAGGATCTCCAGTTTTGTCATTCTCTGTATTATTCGTGACAGTATTTGTGTGCATGTCAACATGTTTGTCAGTATCACCTTTTGACCCCAAGTTCACTTCACTTTCAGGTTGGTTTTCATGGGACAAATGTGCTGTCGTTTTAATATCTTTGCCCTCCTCGATGCGATATCTTCGTGGCATTTTTATTACCCTTCTGTTCCTTTTCAAATTTGTGTTTCCTCTTCCTTTGAGGATATTGTCCGAGGGGTTTTCTTCTTGTTTTTGATGGAGGTGTCTCTCTTTCTCACTATCATTAATTGCTGTAATTGTTGAATTTGGTTGAATGAGTGCTGTTTGATCTGAAAGGGTGATTCATATACTAGTATAATATTATAACATGTGAGAATATAAAATTATAATTGCCATGTGGGGTCACTCTCTTTGCCTTAGCTGAAAACCTCATCTTCAATGAAATCAGCTGGAAACTGTTAGAAATTCATCTAAAATCTTAAATTATATATTTTCTTCTTCCAACCATTGTCTCCAAAGCACTTCATATTCCACTTTAAGCATAAAATTAGAGGTGCTAATTTTTGTAGGAAAAGAAAGATGGCTGCATGATAAATATACATAATACCACCAATGGATATTATAATTTTTCATATTACACATGCTTTATTTCATTTATACCGTTAAATGCATCTGACATCTTAACATTAAATCTGCAAAACAAAAAATAATAATGATAAATAAAACTGAAAAATTATGCAAGTTTAAATGATGTCAAGGGTATTAAATTAAATCAAATGCACACATACCAGACTCTGCCCGACTTGTCACTTTCCTGGCAGAAAACCCCCTTGGTTTTTTAGCGGGTCGCCCTGGGCCCCTTTTAGGTTTTTCTTCAAGCTCTCCCTTTACATTTTTGGATTCACCATTCTCTACACTTTGAACAGTGTAACATTTTCCTTGTTCTTCGCTTTGGACATTCTCAGGTGTCTGTTTTACGTTTTCTTCACACTCGATATCTTTTGGCTTGCCTGCGTTATCGACATCAGACACCAACTCGAACTCAAAATCGTCCATGCATTCTAGATCACAAACAAAATCACCCAAAACGGGCTCTCGGAAGAAGTTCCCTGCTATTTTAAAGGACACGCTTCCTGTTGCTTCTTTTGTGAACTGAAACTGTCCCCTCTTGCAAGTACAAACTAGTTTGACCTCCCCTGAATTTGGAGTCCAAGTCTTTGATAAAAGTGTCGCTAGTTCCCGCGATAAATTCAACGAAAGAGATGAGCAAATGTTTGCGGCCTTTTCTGTTCCTTGTGCGGATTCACTCATGATCCCTTGTAATAAGTTCTATAAGCTTCAAGAGTATTCTGTTTTCACGAATTTGACAATTAAATCATACAAATTTTGAAGTATCAAGATACTTGAAGCAATCTGCCAGAAAATTCTCATCGGCCCTCGTCAGGATTCTGTTCACCGACACAAACTGAAACAACACACCATTTTGTTCCGAAATACAGCTCCTGGATTTCCAGGGTATTAGTTTCAAGCCTCCAAGAAGAAGAGTTGTTTACATACAAGACAAGCCGCTAACGTAAACTTTGTACATCCTCACTAGTGACCATTTTATAAGAAATTATATTTTTTTTTCACATTGTAATTTCTGTCATCTCCTCCTATCCTTAACACTACTTGGAACGGTAAGGATTAATACCCCACCCACCCACCGTAAACACATCACCAGGGAAGCGCTGCTACGTAAGCAGTTCAGAATTTTGGTCACTTTGGGATGAGGCTTTCTCTGTGGTGCTGTATTCTATTACTTTTACAATCAACATTTTTTCAGCGTTAGAGTCTTATAAATAACCACCCACGAACAAAACAGATTCCTAATGCAGATGTTATTGTGAAGAATATTTTTTAATAATTAGACCCCAGACAATGTCATAGACATTCGGGGGATGCGGTCTCCGAGGGGGGTGAGTAACTGTTAACAACGTGGGCAAGTGTAGAGATATGCGATGGCTACACATAGACATCATCTATAGTTTTATAATTACTACATGTATTACTGGTATGTCTTGATTTACCAAATGTAGCCTATATTTGTAACTAAAAGTCAGTGAAAAACTCAAGTGAAAAAAGAAGCTATATTAAATATCAAGGTTTATTATATATACTAATCCAGTGTTAATTTATATTTTACTGCATTTTTAATCATGAAATCACAAGAAAACGATCAATCCCTGCGAGATTCTTTGCATTACATCTTGTATATCTTGGGGGAATTATCACAGTCATCACTTCGCCTTATCTCTGATCCAGGTAAAATTGTATTGGTTTCCTCCCTTTAAGACGACCTCCGCGTCGGTTAAACGGTACATGTCAGTATGAACGCCAAACAGCTTGGCTTTGCTAAATAAGAGGTCACTTTCGTACAACTCTACGTGGTCAATTTCAACTTCTATCGGGCGCTGGTCATCTTGTAACTCCGCAATCGTCCTGTAACCGCTCTGATCCTTTCGCCGAAGAACTAGTCCCTTCCACCAGGTGACGTGTGGACCAAGTGCAAAGCGGATTTTTAACTTGTGTTTGCTGCGGCACATACCTAGTATGTTTGTTTGAAAAAAAAAAGTTAAAATGATAAGTATACTTGAAACATAGGTGCGTTTTCACTTGATCAAGTTTTGTAAATGCACAACTACTGCACATTCTAAATGCCTATCTAGAAAAAGATAAAATAAATAAATAAATAAAAATAAAAGAAAGAGGCAGAGTTAATCTATTTAGTGCAGTTAAATATATGCAGTTAGATATAACTTTTAACAATTAATTATTATGATTAACAATTATATGTAATTGCACCAAAACTGTTCAATAACAATAATAATAATAATAACATTAAAAATAATTATATTCATGTCAGAAATGTACAGAAATGACAATATTTTCAACTAATTTTGAATTAACGTTTGGAATAATAGTTGAGTACAATGTGTACGTTTAGGCTTGTGTACATTGCAGGACATCGCGTACATACGCATCATACCCGGTAGGTTTGCAGCTAAGCAAATAAAGTTAATGGAATATGCTGCTATAATACTTATAATTTGCCGGATATTACAAACGGAAAATCGCGTAGAAGTAACCGCAGTGCTTGGATCGTGGTCTGTTATCCAGGGGCAAATCATTATGCCAAGCGTTTACTATAATACACAAAGTGCCTGTGTATACGGGTATGTATGCCTGACTTCACGCCCCTATTTACACGAGTCAAATGGCTAATATGTATAAATGTTGGCAATCGCCTATAAAAGATCTTAAATAACCATGAAAGGTGACTCTATTTCATATGAAATAACAATCTTCGGCTGTTGCTGACAGAAAAAAAAATATACGTCATATATTCTAATATTTTAATAAGGTAGGAGGGAGATAACCACCGATGGGGTACTGGTCAACCGATTTACGTCGTCTGCTTTGACCTGGGTAAGGTCACACGGTACATAAAATCTGTCCATCGATCACTGATTTGGTAAACGTTTCTTAGTATTTGACTGAAACAAGTTCCTTAACGTAACATCAAAACGTATACTTAACAGGGGCGGATCCAGGATTATTTGAAGGGGTGGGGGTTCGGAACGACAAGGCTCCTGCCTACCTGGGAGGACTTCCACGAGAATTTCATCTCCATCTTGCATCCCCGGTCCGATCTCGTCCAGTCGCACGTCTATAGGCTGGAACAATGACCAGAGAATAAAATGCCTCTTAGAGGAGAAAAATAGCTTGTTTTTGGCGATAGTTTAACACATAAATTATCCCCTTCCTAGTGTTTTCAACAAGTACCCTTTCCTTTAACGTAAAAATGAAGGTCAGAAGGGTTTAAATCCAATAATTCATAACAAGATTTCTCTTTTCTTATTACATTTGTGAGTTTATTTTCAATTTCGCCCTCCTCTTCTATACTATCGTAGTTGGAATTCCCTTATGATCCATATTATTTCCACCGATGCTATGTAAGATCTCACCCCTTTAGGCACTAAGGGCTGTAGGCTAAGTAGGCCCCTATTTGACCATATTATGAACACATGTACAGTACGGTATGTTAATGAGGCCTTCGGCAGAATCTTATATTGGAAGTGTATGACGAAACTGCCATTATAGTTTAATCTCCCCAGTTATATTTATAAACAGACGTTTTTCCATCATTACTCCCTTAACATCCCACTCCGTCTTTCATGTAGTGGTAATCCCCCCCCCTTGCCCTACCTCCTCAATACTTTGAATATTTCATACTTTGTTAAGTAAGCTACCTTCATTTTATCTTTAGGCCTTCTTTGCCTTACACTGGTCACAGCTAATGGTGATTCACACTCACGTGAGCCGACGAAGGTAAAAAAATCGAATTGACTTCGTTGGCACCAAGCTTAGCGCAGTGTCACCATATGACACGTATGCCGTACGCTGACGTATTACCTCTAGATAACAAGTTACTCACCATGTTTGTACAGCAAGACACGACCCTTGCCCCAATATCTCACAAACTCGATGATAAGGGGGGTGATTGCAGTACACAGCGATAAGACTGGGAATCGCAACTCGAAGACGGCTTCCCCTGTTGTCCTGTCCGAAACCCTCCCCAAATAACCCTCGTTTTCGGTTTCGGTACATGCAAGGTGATTTCTCAAAACGCGTCAAGTGCTTGTGTTTTCGAAAGTAGGTCAGTATGAAGTAGTATCGATTTTTTCGGGAGAACCAGAAGCAAAATCAATAACATATGCAGAAGTAATAGAATTTCTTTCTTACATAATTTAAATGCCTTGGGAACCCACACACCATCGTTTCAATTACCATTTGTACATCTTATTTCATGGGAGTGGGGGAGGGGTGGGGGGTGGGGTGAGGTTGGGGAGGGGGAGGGGGAGTTCGGGTGTGGGTGGGGTAGGTTGAGGTCGGGTGTGGGTAGGTTATGGTTGGGGAGGGGTGGGGTGAGGTGGGCGGGGGTAAGTTATGGTCAAAGAAGGGTGGGGTAAGGTGAGGTGGGGGTACTGGTAGGTTGAGGTCAGGGTGGGTTGGAGGTGGGCAAGGATAAAATTAAAGTCGTCAAGTGAAGCACTAGACGATTTTTCTTACCATAACGTAAAGGGGGCCTAAGCCACAGGGATGAAAACTTGTTTTTTTTTCTCTTTTCGTCCATTCTTCTGTTTTTAAACCTTAATTTTGAGAACGGGGTAACCCAGAATATGCCTTAATGAAGTAGGGGCACAAATTACTTTCAGTTACTTGCAGTTATTTTAAGGTTTTTATTTTAACAATGACTTTTATATAGCAAAGAAAAATGGAAAGAGAAATTAAAAACAGAAGTAATTATTATTATTATTATTATTATTATTAATATTATTATTATTAATATAATTATTATTATTATTATTTGCACTTTTTATTTGAACTTTTCTGATGTATACCATGGGTTTGGCTAGAAAGCTACTAGTAAAGCTCTCACCTGTACTTGACAAGAGAGTTATTCGTTTCTTTTATTTCCCATATATCTCTCTCTAGCCCGTTATCGCGTTGAAACTGTTTCCACTGTGTATCTGAGAATAAATTCTTCCTATTTGCCCACCGTTTAATTGTGTCAATTACACTGGTTTATAAGGCCCCTCCCCCCTCTCTCATATGCCATTAAACAATCGCAAGGAACCATAAAAACGACACTTTGTCATTGCCTCATTATTCATTAACACAATGTCATTACTGCTCTGAGACGGAGTCCAGAGTCCAGAGACTCTGAACTTGTATGGGGCGATTTTAACGTTTTGAAACGCTTAATGAAATAGAATTAACGCACGGTTCATTTGGTCGGACCTGCCGTTGCATTTTGTCAACTGAAGCTGTGTTAGATTTAAGTTCACATGACACCAAGATGGGGCTAACAAGATTTATGCTTCTGATCATGGCGATGGTTACTGTTTTTGTCTCAGGTAGGTTGAATGGGACTGGAGAATTTGGTTTCTACAAAATGAGGTAGCTTTTTATTTTTTACTATTTTTTTTATAAGAATGACTGAACATTGGCTTGCATATACCTGTGCATGCTGTATAAAGAGCACCAAATAACTTCAAATTCTGTTGATCCTGTACGTATATTAACACGTGTATGGGGGTGGGGGTAGTGTGTGTAGGGGGGTGCAGGTACGAAGTAGCGGGGTAACAGAGATTCAACTGTATCCCCCTTTTCCTTTCTAATTAAATTGGCGGTATCAGCCCCCCGTTTCCTCATACAATGATAAAAACGAAAAAAGCGCGTTTCATTACTGAAAATATACCTTTTTATTAAAAAATGAAATGAAAAAAAAGAGAGAAAATGAACATCGAAGCAGGGAGCGGAAGAGAAGGTCAACGATGATTTAAATGTACCAGATTTTTCATCAAACTTTTTTCTACGCGCTTTGTGCAATATTTCCATCAAGCTCAAGTAAATCTTTCTTTAATTAACATCAAAGTTGCTAAAAAAATTCTGTGTCATCTAACAGAATATCGGTCAGTTGCACAACAGAGACACCAAGATATACCTCATACGCACCTGTTTGCATGCGGTGTATGTTCGGAAACAATAGCATGTCAGGTAATGAGAACTGCCCCGAATATCAAACGATTGAGATTACGTAAAGACCTTGGTACATACACCAGATGAAATCGAAAGTTTTGTTTTGTTTTGCTTTGCTTTTGTTTGTTTGTTTTAATTTTATTATAATTATTATAACTATTTTTTTTTTTTTTTTGCGTTTATGACTTTGTAAATACAACAGAATGCTCTTGCTTGTAGTTGTCCTCGTTATCATATGAAACCCCGCAACAGTCAAGACTAGGTAAAAACGTACGTTGTATCAGTCCATTTGTACATGTGTATATCCGTCCTCCGTCTTAACTCCCAGGGCTTATAACATGCATCCATCTACGACTAGCTCATATAGAAGCTTGAATATCTACACAAGACAGCAAAATGTTATTATCTTTAAAAAATTTTCAAAAGCTGAGATTATTCATCTATATTCAATAACTACCTAATCTATCAACCAATTTTTCTTTCATTTCTTCATTCGTTTATTTCTATTTATTCATTTACATATTTACATGTAGATGTTCATTCAGCAATACATTCACAAATCATTTACGCACGAATCCATTCATTTATGCACTGATCTGTTCATTAACGCCCAGGTGACGTCACCAACCAGTGCCCGTCAAGACCCCAGGACGACGGCTGGACCATCTATATATTCCGGGGTAAATGTTACCAGTTTGTGGACGTGGAAAGGTATTGGACAGAGGCCAGAGATTTCTGCAGGGGCAGAGGCGGTGTACAGGTATTTAAACATGTACCATTTACATATACATGTAACTTATGATAAAGCCTACACAACCCCGTCTTACAGGGTCCGGTTTCATCAACACTGGATAGCGTCTCAGTTTTCCTGAGAATAACAGCCATTTTAAACCGTTGCATATCAATACCAGAGACAAAAAATGTATAAAGCATGTCTTTCAACATTATTTAAACTGAAATGACATAAACATAGCTTCTGTATTACAGGTGGAAATTTACGACCAGGAGACCATGGATTTCGTCATCGACAAACTGAACAACATCGGCTGGGACAGAAACGGAGTTTGGGCAGGAGCACACGACATAGATCAAGAGGGTTCATGGCAATGGACCTCTGGTGAGTGAGGATACATATGTGTACTTCATGTTGGATAAGAATCGCAAATTATCCAGATAAGCCTGTGTGTCAAGATCTGGGTAGTATACTGGTACCATATTGAGGTTGGAGGAGCAATAAAGGGATCTGTTGTTTGGTAGTTCGTCCTTTTTGAACCAATAATGAGGTTTTAAACAAATAAGGACAAAATGGGTTTGCAACACCAGCTTTCTTGCTGTGTCAGCGGCCTCAAAGCGTCGCAGTCCTGACGTACAGTATATCGGTAGGTACGCTGAGGAGATAGCAAGAGGGATCGAAGCATCCTTTGTCAAATGGCATGGCTCTGTATAGCACATTTGTCGTTTAACAATCTTTTCACCGATAATTTAAACAAGACAGCCACCACCATATCCATATGCATATCGAGTTGAAATTTTAACACATTAAGTACTGGAATGTCATGTATGATCGCCAAAGGTTTGTCCAATATAAGATATAAAAATCTATTTGAAAATCCCTTGTTCGAATTGGAAATTGAAATTATTAAGTCCAACCTTTAAGACATTCTCAATATCTGAAAGAAATATATGAAAGAAATGAATATTAAAAACATACCAATTATAACCGTTGACCTATGAAAGGGCGAGATCTTAGTCGGTACAGCAACTGGATGCCTGGAGAACCGAACAATGGCGGCTGGTTAGGAGGCCAGGACTGTGTCGTCATGAAGAGGGACGAAGACTGGAAATGGGACGATGTCCACTGCTCTCTTCTCATGTGGCATTACAACTTTATCTGCATGTACGGTAAGTTCGTTTGCTTTCTGTGAAGTCCAACAGCTCAATATCTCTCTAAACTGTACACGTAGGCCTACCTATATTGAAAAAAGGATATATTTGAACATACATGACGTGCAAGAGATAAATGGCAATTGCTCTACCAGTAATTGTTTTAACAATTCAAAATTTGACGGTAGAAATGATATTTCAGATGTAGTAAGTTCCACTGGCTCGCCCACCACCACACCGACAGCAGTGCCACCTACTGCGAGACCCAGCACTACAGCAACAGCAGTGCCACCTACCGCAAAACCCAGCACCATAGCGACAGCGGTGACACCTAGTGCCAAACCCAGCTCTACACCGACACCTACTACGCGACGAACAGCGCCACCTACTGAGCCGACCCCCAGCAGTGATATCAGCACAGTCAGTATTCCGGCTGTGACCGATGGTAATTCTCTTTTCATTTTCTTTAGGTCTGTTTTTTTTTATTTATTATTATTATCTTTTTATTTATTTATTTATTTATTTTTTTTTAATTTATTTTATTTTTTTTTTGTTATATTCAGTTGAAATTTATGTTTTGAATGAATCATTTTTTGCCAGGTTAGAATTTCTCGATTTTTTTACCTACCTCACAGCCATGGCATCAGCCCAAAGAAGTCGATTCAATCCTTTATTTGTTTGATGATTTTTGTGTAATTATCCAAATTTTATAATAAAACTGTATGAATTTATATATTTTTATCCCATTCCATGAATAACAGTGACTCTGAAATTGTGAACTACTTTCGATGTGAAAGTGTTCATTACGAATGTACTTAGGTGTTTATTAGGAATATACTGAACCGGTATTAAAAAGTTCTGTTTTGATGTTACAATCCGTTCAGGCGAGGTGTGGCGCTGCCCTGCAAGGCCAAGACAGGACAACTGGACAATATACACATTCCGTGACAAATGTTACCAATATGTAGACATAGAAACCTACTGGACAGAAGCCGGGGATTACTGCTCGGAGAGGGATGGCCTGCAGCTGGAAATATTTGACCGAGCCACGATGGATTTTACCATTGATAAACTGAACAACATCGGATGGAATCAGACCGGAGTATGGACGGGGGCCCACGACAGGGGGATAGAAGGCACGTGGACTTGGACATCCGGTGAGTAGGATTACCGAAAGGATCTTCCGGTAGAATTCTTGAGCACAGAAAGGGTGACACTAACGAATTATTATATTTAAAATGCATTTATATTATCCGAGGGTTTTGACACATCTACCACAATACGTACTTGTATTGGAGTAGTCTGTTAGAATGAATACCTTATTAAAAAAAAAAAACAGACATGTATCTGTGTAATTTAGTTGAAACGAGAATTTCTTAAATTATACTTTTCGTATACATGTATATATACTACTCTTCGTTGATCAGTGAGCCAGGAAATGTCAAATCATGTACCCATTTAGCGCTCAATAAACATTATTTATTTATTATTTCTATAAAAGCCTCTCATTGCATGAAGACATCTATCAATTCGTAACACAATATAAGATACCTTTCACTAATGCCCCTATTTCACACAGATCACGAATCCCACGAATCGCCAGGAATTGGCGATTCAACCACGAATCCTGAAATTTGCCAATTCCTGGCGATTCGTGGGATTCGTGGTCTGTGTGAAATAAGGGCATAAGCAATATTTCCGTTTTGATAACCTAGGCGCGGATCTGTCCCAGTTCTCGTACTGGGCGCCTGGTCAACCCAGCGGGAGTGGCTGGCTGAACGACCCGGACTGTGCCGTCATGTGGAGAGACAGTGGCTGGCGGTGGGACGACATTACCTGCTATTACTATGGCTGGCATTATAACTTCATTTGCATGTACAGTACGGGACAATTTCTTTTTTGTGTAATTCGATATCTATCTATCTATCTATCTATCTATCTATCTATGCAGATAGATGGACAGATAGATAGATAGATAGATAGATAGATAGATAGATATAGTATATGCGCTTGTTCTTAACTACGTGCTTTTCTTTGCCTGTGTCTTACATGTGTTCCCAAGAGTAGCTCACAGTACACGATCTATTTAATTTTACTTTTGAACATTTGCGTTAATTACTTTTGTATGCATGCGTGTGGTAATATTCTTACTACCAATTAAACATTTCATCCTAAAAGATATGACATCGGAACCAAGTTCCTTTCCAACATCAACAACGCCAGTGGCCTCAACTGTACCCAAACTAACAGGGAAACCAGGAGATGATAAAACCACCCTGAGTACGACCACCAAGGCTGGAAGTGATGGGAGAGGTGAGGGTTAATTATGAACAGGGGTGGGGTGATTGAGTATGTGTGTGTGTGTGTGTGTGTGTGTGTATGTCACACATCGTGTGTGTGCGTTTGTGCGTAAGAGAGAGGGGGAGAGAGGGTGCGTGCGTGTGTGTGTGTGTGCGTGCGTGTGTGTGTGTGTGTGTGTGCTTACATGCGTGCATGTTTGTGTGCGAGTCGACACGTACGCGTGTCAATGCGTGCAAATTATGCACGGCAACGTAAAATATAATGGATCTGCAAAACTGAATTAGACATACTGGATGCTTTGAATGATTAGAACGTGTGCACAAGGCAAAAGAGAAACACAGAGAGGACGATAAAAACCTACCTTCACCCCGTAGCACAAAGACTAATCACAGAGCTAACAGCCGATTTTGAAACCCACTAATATGAACGTTGGATTAAGCACATTGATACAGTTATTGTTATTATTATTATTATTATTAATTTTTTGCAGCTCCTGGCGGTAAAACTGATGCACAAACAGCACAGCGTCAAAGTGGAAATGAGAACGGTACGTGCCTGAAATGGAACATGCTATACCCCATAAAATATGTGTAATTATATTTGATATGTGTTAAATATTGTAACCATTTAATTAAGAGTCTCAGAACAGCGGCGTACCACATGTACAGTTACTAATTTGGAAGCTTTCAAATGATCTGATGTATGTTTGGGTAGTAGTAAAATACTTCTTGTCTGTTGGCGAAAGGTCGATAAACGGTTTGAATTTTTAAAAAGCCCTGTTATTGTCAACATTTCCGAATCACTTCTTCCTAATATTCGATTATGTATCATTTTTTGGAAAAACATTATTAAGTGTACTCGTATATACTGTATATATGTTTGACTTGACAGTTAAAATGTATACAGTATTCAACAGTTCTTTGACCTACGTTTTAGCTCTCTATATCGGCATCGGCGTGTTTCTTGGTCTGCTGGTGGTGGCGGTGATCATTGCAAGTGTCGTGTTACTCAGGTTTAAGCCGTGGAGAAGGTATGTGTATAACGTCTTCTATACCACAATGAGAACCGTTTGAGATAGCCCTGTTTGAAATCGTATAGAAAGATAGCCCAATATTATTGGGTACTAAAAGAAAAAAATTAGTTGAAAGGTGATATTTTGTGAAGAAATTAGAGGTATTTAGCGACATGAAATATACGAGGTTTACAGGTAGCTTTAATTGGCTTAGCGAAAAGGATCATTGGTTTAGCGAAATGGGGTAAATATGTTAAGACATCCTTAAACATATTTACGATTTCATACTTTCTCTGCTTAAGATTAAACTTTCCCCGAGCGCGAAATGATCTAATGCTACCTTGTACTAGTAGCCATATGAGATATTGTAAATGTTACACTGTATTCATTCGATAGGTTCTACTTCAAACACAATGACAGTAATGACGTGGACGCCATAATCAGCTACGATAACAATGCATACGGTGACGTCACTATCAAAGGAACCGGTGTGGATCGAATAGATAATGCTCTTCCGGCGCAAGATGACCCAGTGTACGCTGTTGGGGGAGAAGAGAATCACGACAGTCAGCCAGGTGCTATAGAGGTGATTTACGACAGCCATCAAGCAGTCTTTGGTACAAATGACGTGTTTCACTTTGGGTCGAAAAACGACTCAGACGCAGAGGCGTAGATGCTGCTCAGACTTGGACAGTGTATACACCGCACACTACCAAGCCGGGGAAAGTTTTTTTATTACTCCAACCGTTCTCATCAAAATGAATTAAATTTGATGCCGGAATCTCTTTGATTTTTCAGAAAATCGGAGCAAACCGGTTTGCAAACATTATTTATAAATTTCTAAGTGAAAACGGAAAGTATGAAGTCTATAATCCATGAACAGTTTTTTAGGTTAATTGTGATTATACATAAGTAGCATAGTTGGTTATGTCATATAACACATGTTACTTGTTAAACTGGTTTAATAAACGAAATTAACGGAAATAGAAACGGTCTTTTTAAGTGCTACATATTTTTGACTATATCGCAAGCTAATCTAACGAAATTATTTTTGGCTGAACATTCAAATTTATTCCAAAGAGCACGTGTTACCAAAACAAAAGCATAAAATCACTTTCATCGATGATGCAGCTTATTGAAAATAGTGTGTAAACAATTTGCAGTTAAAACTGAAACGAAAAACATTACTCAATTTAATTTTGAATTTGAAAGTCTTTTAACATTCATAAACTCTTCAAATACATGTCACATATTCGAAACCATAATTCAGGTGCCATAAAACAATAAAGGAACAAATAAAGTGCAGCGACTTACCACTGGTTTCGAAATACAACAGTCAATAAAACGGACAATAAAATACTTAACCCAGTTATAAGGAAGACAGTTCTGATGCCGCGTTCAAATCGCGCTTTACTGCAAGTGTGTCCTGTCTCTGACTCGGAAGCAGATGACTTGAACTGGTCGCGTCGCTGTCCACATGTCTCTGATATGGTGTTATTAAAAAAAAAAAACGCTCAAAATTGGAGGAAGGCTTCCACGTCAGTTGTAGCACTGATACATACATGTAGTTTGCTGTTATCCAGACTGCAATTCTTCTATGAATAGTCCTAAAGTTGTTTTTTTTTTTTTTTTTTTTTTTTTTTTTTTTTTTTTTTGAATGAGGTCCTGAATGAATGAATAGCTTTGCGATCCCTGACTTGTTCCTATTTTCAATTAAAAATCATATATCGTAAGTCGGGTGTCTAATGTCATCATTTTATGTGAGAGTGCGTATCTAATATAACTCGATAGATGGCAATACGATTGTATCTTTATTCAGTTTTTCAAAAATAAGGGGAAATTACCAGTAACCAAAGAGTGTTTCTTTATCCTCGGGAATAAACAATCTACGTTCCGTTTGTCTATGAATAATGATAAAACAGGCGAGCCAGGTGCGCTCTCTTTAGAACCGTGTGAACGGGCTTTTCTATATGCGCTTCAGAGCTGATTCTTCCTATGGCTGTGTTCACATCGTTTCTAAATTTGACCTTTTTTTAATATGACGCTAGTTGAAAGGATTGGTTCTGAAAATGTGTAGCCATAGGTCTTTCACTACATAAAATTATCCAAAAAAAATTTTGAAACGGCTTTTTTGACACAATCTGTACCGTAGGCGCTCAAAAAAAAAAAAATAAAATAAAAAAAAAGACGCGTCTTTGGCATCTCTGCGTATTCAAATCACAAACTGTCCCTAAGTAAACACCGATAAGAAAGCAGTCTCTCGATGCGTTCATTTAAATACAGAAGCAGAAATAGGAAGAAGTAATAGTGCTTGAACGCCACAGAGAAGTGGTGAGATTGCGACTGGAGAACATGGAGAAATATTACCCTCTTGCGTTCCTTTTACTTGTCGTCCTCGACTGTTGTAAAGGTAAGTCAAAAGAAATACAGAATTCTATATTTTAATTTATAGCTGTTAAAGGAGTTTATCTAGCTCAAACAAATTCACAGAAGATGTATGGAATGCATAAATCAATCGTCTTTAAGTAGCGGTATTGTGCTGGATGTTCTACATGTATCTGTTAAGCAAATGACGACAAGTTATGAAAGTTTTTTAAAATTGTTTTTGTTAAAAGACCACTTTTTTAAAAATCATTTTGTTAAAAAAAAACACTGAAACGGCTTAGGGTGACGTGCGTGGATAAAAAAGTACCAGTTAGATTCAGTGGAAGTCACGTCCCATACCAACACACTTGTGGACAAAATGATAAATATTTCTCACTGTGCGCCTGACCCGCGGAAGAAGCGTTTAACTTTTAATGGTTTGATACTGGTACTGCAATTCAATTTGTTTTGTAATGTTTTGGTATAGCCTAAAATATGTCATATCGGAATAATCGCTGCTTTTTATCCGAAGACATGCAAGTAGGCCTGCAAAGAGAGTTGACATAAGCATTCCAAGCTATTTTCTCTGGAAACAAATTGTTTTATCTTGTATTTTGATACATTGAGATAACATGTTAAGGTTACAGAAAGGGTTAAACAAAAAATCCTAAATTACTGTCTTTACGTAAATGTTTTGGATAGTATATAAATCGTCAGTGTTCATGGTTAAATTCCTTTGCAAATTTTATCGATGACGTCATAATTGCAATTCTAAAAAGTTGCAAAATCGGTTTTTCAAATTTCAGCTTTACCTGAACACCGACGAACACTGTTTTAACGCTATTTTTAATGATACCATTAAGTACTTCAAAAATCTGCCAATGATGTTTATTAAAAGGCGTAGTTCAAATTTTATAGTTAATAAGGAAAAATAATGCCTATGTATAATGATACACCTACTGACGTGCTCATAACACCATGGCAAAACATTTATACCAAAACAATGCTACCCATCGCATCCTGGTTATTATTATTATTATTATTATTATTATTATTATTATTATTATTATATGTATAGGCCAGGAGGTGTGGCGCTGCCCTGAGAGGCCAAGACAGGACAACTGGAACCTCTACACATTTCGTGACAAATGTTACCAATTTGTCAACACTGAAAAATACTGGACGGAAGCCACAGACTACTGCAGAGGAAGAGGCGGCTTGCAGGTAGAAATATTTGATCAAGCGACGATGAATTTTATTATCCATACACTGAACAATATCGGCTGGAGCAATAATGGCGTTTGGACTGGAGCACACGACAGGAGTCGGGAAGGCTCCTGGCTATGGACTTCCGGTATGTTGTGGACGGCATTTTGTTTTTCAATCAGATTCTTACTATTGTTTTCTTTCTTTTTCAATATACTGTGACGTGTTTAATCTCACCATATTTTTACAATACAAAATATGTTCTGGAAGGCATCAATCATATGAATCCATGAACAAAATTAGCGCTAAAGAAAATAAATTGAGGTAGACCTTTTTCTCATGTTTAACTGATATAAACGAATTGCTTACTGCATCCAACAAATGCACTTTATGAAAAAATCCAGTCGAGTAGTAGCGCCAAAGTAGAGAATTCTTTTCACCGCCCCAGGGGCCGATCTGTCCCGGTATTCGTACTGGGAACCAGGAGAGCCAAGCGGTGGAGGCTGGTTTGACGACCCTGACTGCGCTGTCATGATGCGAGACAGCGGCTGGAGATGGGATGATGTTCCTTGTAACAGTTTTAGCTGGCATTACAGGTTTATCTGCATGTACGGTACGTTCAAAATTAACTTTATTGGTGTTTGTGGTGATTTTTTCCCTTTTTTCAGCCGATAACCCTTTGCTATTGAGTGCATTCGATATACCAGTACTTTTTGCAATAGTTATAGGTTGAATACTTTGACATTTGTAGTGTAATTTACAGGCCTATTTCATTATTAGATTTAGCGAAACTTATTGTGTCAATTGCCAATTGACGTATAAAACATGTTTTCAATTGACGTATAAAATCAACATTAACATTTTTACAATTTAAGAGAATGAGCTTTGCTATTGGTTTCTCTTATTGGCTTAGGTCTATTGCCAACTACCACTAAAACTACTACAACAACTACTACAACTACAACACCTACTACAACTACTACTACCACTCCAACAACTACAACTACAACAC